CAAGTTGGCAAGCACTTGCCGTGGATTGAAGTATCGCGATGGGGCCCTGCATATCCCCTAAAGTCAAAACAGCATTGACACCCGTGGTTTCTGCCCAGTGAGGTCACTTGATTTCGCTAGTCTGACATGAAACCTTGCTTTCGCATTGACTCCATGACTACCTCTTTCTTCACCTGGATAGCATAGGCCCTTTAAGCCGAAACTTGCTTCAGGTAGGCAAATGCCACTTTGGTGGGACTGCCGGCTGAGGCCAATGGGCTTGGCACTGCGTCTGGTCTTAAATAGGCAGGTCCAAACCTTTGCATGCCAAGTGGTTTCTGGTCAGAAGTGCCAAGCCACCAAACCGATCGTAGCTTAGGCCCACAAACAGCTTTTATATAATTGAGGTCGTTCTGCGCTGCGCCCTTCGTGCAAGCGAAACGACCTGCTGTAAAAATGTGTAAAGATGTCGCTTCTTGGGCGAGCTTGAAAACAAGCAGTGCCCAATGATATTGAGAGGCCAATCATAGAAAGACATGTAAATATTACTAAACAAGTATTCAAGGGTTTCGATGCCCAGGCACGCTAGCTGCTACACGAATCTTAAGGTTTGAGCACCGCTGACATGGATTCCGGCCATCACTATCAAGCACGTGAAGATACATGATTCAGGCTCGGCAATAATGTATTCTTGACCGCTCAGTCACAGCAGGCAGAGACAAACAGACAGACAGACAGACAGACAGACAGACAGACAAACAAACAAACAAACACGACTCGATATTTATCCCAATTTGTTTGTGCAACGTTGAGATGGTTTGCCGCCCAGCGAATGGTGGCGCAGCAAGTTCTCCCATCACATGGCGCCTGTCCGGCTGTGCACGCAACCTTATCCATGAGGCAAGTATTTTCAGGACGAGTTTGCCGGATCCCCAGGACTGAGTGGATTCTGATTCTCCGACCGGACATAGCAATACCGGAGCCTAGGTCAAACATTGGAGCATTCTGTTGAGGCAATCCCTTTATGAAAGGTTCCCTGCTTGGTTTTTCAGGAGTGTCTGAATGCAAATCATGTGAACAATTGCGCCTGTGGCACGCTAGGCATGTTAGCAGAGGCAAAAATGCTGCATCTGTTCTGACCATTACGACGATAAACAAGACAATGTGTATGTGCATGTGCGTGTGCGCTGGCAAATATCTCTAAAAAGTCCAGTGGCTATCGCGTGTATCGCGTGTTACCCAGAAGCACCATCAGGCATTTAAAACTGAACAAACACTGGCACTCAGCCAAAGCAAGGCAGCTCCCAGAGCAATCCAGCCACCACCAACAATCCCTGTCTAGGCAAACCAACCCAATCCCACCAGGGACGGTTGGAGATCGCATTAGTCAATGCATTTTGTTTAGTCTGTACATCTCTTTTGCACCATGGAGTCAACGCTAATCATGGTTCTTAGAGGGACAATGGACCTCATTCCCACCAAAACACGGCCAATCAGCGTCAACATTCTGATGTTCATCCTGACTGAACCGTCTTGGCCTGGCAAGCAAGAACACCGATCCTGTTCGCCTCATGGTCACTCGGTCGCGCAAACTGTGCTCAGACTCCTACAGTGCGGCTGGGCCCGGTCCCTTTTTGTTGGCTCGATCGACCAAAAGTGCCTGCAAGTCACATCCCCTGCACACTTTGGTTCACACAAGAGCCCCCTTCTTGCAGCGCAAGTAGCTGCGTAGCACTGTGATGGCTTCGTGGCCGAATTTACAGCTCTTGGCACCTGGATGAACGACACGTTTTTGCTTTTCAAGCGTTGATTTGCCCCTCGTTCCGAAGTTGTTCGAAAGATTTGCTGCTTCGGAGCCCAAGCACAGTCACAACTGGCGCCATGGCATAAGGCTGCTGTAGGCAGCTTGGCCTTGACAGCTCCTCAGCTGTATTTCTCGGACGACTATTATGCCCAAAGATATACACAAGGCAAGCATGATCGCATCACCTACTTAGTCAATTGGGCTGGGAAGCATGGCCATGTGCTTGGGAATACCTGAACCAATTTCCGGGCAATCCACGGAGCCGTTCACACGGCCACGCGGCACGAGCCGAATCATTCAGACGGCCGCGAGAGCATCAAGCAGGAAGCAGCGATCGCCGCAAGAGCTTCCCAGCTGTTCTTCGCCATGCATATTCGCATTGCCATGCGCTGGCAATTGCGGAAAGTGGACGTAGACCCCCTTTCCAGCAGGAGGTGTCCCCGCAGTTCTGCAACAGGCGTCATTCCCAGGTACTGCCCGGTGTTGAATGCGAATGCCCGCTCTCTTGCCACATGGCTCAGTCCAAACAGTGTCAACAGAGTCACTGCCGTGGCACTTTCTCTTGAGATCCCTGGCAAACATCATGCCCGCGTCCCTTCCCAAGGCCCTAGGCTGGAGGGTTCGGAGGCGAAGCCACCGTTTAGCAACCCGACCTTACTCGAGTGTCTGGGGCCCCAAAGCACCAATCTCGTTCTTCAAACCATTGGTCCCAAAGCA